CTGCTGAGGGGAAGAGGGGCCTGTGGTGGGGTGTGGAGAGGGACAGAAGGGAGTTAACATTTGCTACCTGGTGAAGGGTAGAGCTGTGTCAGTTGGGAACTGAGCCTTTTGCCTCCAGCCAGGGGCTCATGAGGCAGAGCTTGAGCCTTTTGCCTCCAGCCAGGGGCTCACGAGGCAGAGCTGAGCCTTCTGAGGGCTCGGGCCTGACCTGAAGTGCTGGGGCAATGCCCTCCCAGCTCCTTCCCCTGCTGCTGGAGTGTCTCTCCTCCTGTCTTGGGGGGTTGGTGCTGGCTGCAGGCCCTGTCCTGTCTGTGTCTGAGCTGAACCACATGCCAGACCCTGGTGGAAGGTGAGAAGTTAACAGTGCTGTTGCCATCCAACAGCGATAAACATCCAGGAGTGTCCTGGGTCTTGTGGAGCAGCTCCTTTTTTCCCTGTGCCTGGGCTGAGAGTTGACACGTTGCACCAAGACCAAGGAGCTTTTTGCATGGAAGCACGACCCAAAACGAGGAGCACAAACCCTGAGGCTGGCAGAGCCCAGCCTGAGGCATGAGGTCCTGGCTCTGGCTGTGGATCTCCCCAGGGCACCAGAGGCAGCCAGGCTGGGGCCAGGCAGGGTCAGCACTTGCTGAAAGTCCATCTGTCATGGGTTCACCCTGTGTGCACCTGCCTTTGGACACCCACTGAGCGATGGGAACTGCAGGGAGCAGGGCCTGGGCAGCAGGGATGGCACAAGGACAGAGCTGGGGCCTGCTCAAAGGGCTCTTGGGGCTCCTCTTCTGCTCCCCACACCCTCCTAGGACTCGCTGGTCTCACTTCCCGTCGGGGCACAGCAGGAAACCTCTGTCCTGTGCTTGCCCGAGGCACAGGAAGAAGCAGGACAAGCCCCTGATTTGGGGTTCTTGTAGGGGCCAAAGCTCTTAGCTGTAAGTTTTGGCTGCATCCCGAGTGCAGCAGCTCCAGGAGCAGCAGCTGGAGCAGCGAAGTGCTGGGATTTGAATTAATTTCTAGCGTGCCTCCTGCCCCCGCCGGCGCCTCTCCCTCCAGCCCGGGGATTAGTGGTATTTATAGCACGCGCTGCTTTCACTTTCCCCCACCGAGGCCAATTCCTGCCGGCCGGGGCAGCACGGGAAGTCCTGCACCCTGTGACCCGCGGCTGCGGCTCCGGGCTCAGGCGGATTAATTCCTATTTCCT